CAGAGCGACTGGTGTCCAGGCAACCGCCCTCCCCCTGCTACTTGGCAGTATGGGGAAGGAAATTTTACCAGTTTACACTCTGACTGAAATGAAAACTGCTATGCAGATCTGCGTTGTCAAGGCAGAGATGGAACCTTTGTTGTTACCATCTTATCCTGGAGGCTTCACTCTCATGGATCTCCATTTATTTACCTGCTCCCTTCAGAGGAGGATGGAGAAGCCACCAATATCTTAAAGCACATTTGAGTCACCTCAATAGGTTTCCTTTGCTGTTGGCCACTTATGTTCTTTCAATCTTGACTTAATAGATCAATGTCCATTGCAAAGCCTCCTTGATAGTCTACAATCCCCTCTTCCTGATTTTAACCTAGGCCATGTTGCCTCTGACTCCACTCATTGCTTTCCTCAAGAGCTGCTTGCTCAGGATGGAAACCCAGGGCCTCCGAGTCTCTGGCAATGCCCACCTCTGCTCACCAGTGTTTGTTACCTACTCTCTGGTCTCAGTTTCAGAAGGGAAGAACCATGCTCTCATACAGTACACAAGCCTGAAGGGAGCACTCTCTGGAGACTTTCAGCACAATGGGTTTGAAGTGCAATTAACCTACTGAACAGGGTCAGTGTGCATTACCCTCAGCATTTGGTTCATAGAGCATTTGACTAGGTGACAGCTCCCTGCTACTGTATCTGTCTCTCTTGCTCAGGGGTGGGCAATAATTTTTGGTGGAGGGGCCACTCCAAGATTTTGGAAAGTGGTCAAGGGCCACATTTTTCTGTGGAGGAGGTGCACATTCTAGGATGGAGGTTGGGTGCAGAAGGGCGCATGGGATGCAGGACATGGCGTGAGGTCTGAGAGGCAGTTTGGGTGAAGGAGGGGGTTGTGACCTGGGCCAGGAGATTGGGGTGTAGTGTCAGAGTGAGCATGGGTGCAGGAGAGAATCTGGCCTAGGGGAGGGGTGTAGAAGGGGGTACAGGGTCTGGGAGGGAGTTGGGACTTGGGGCTGGGGGACTGCAGAGGGTTTGGATAGTGATCTGGGGGAGGAAGTTGGGGTGCAGGAGGGGCTGGGGTGCCAGAGGCAGGCTTTGGCTGGGAGGTGCTTACTAAGCATCTCCCGGCCAGCAGCCCTACAGCACCCCAAGGCAGGCTGGGCTCCCTGCCTCCTGCAACCCCAGACCACTTAAAACTGCAGGCTGCTCCCACCATGTGGGTCTTAGCTCAGAGGTGGGGGGG